AGTGGTTTAGTACAGTGGTATGTATGTACAGTGGGTACGGAAAGTATTCAGACCCCCTTATATTTTTCTGATGATAACAAAGAAAGTGGTTTAGTACAGTGAAAATATCTAATATCTAAATATCTATATATTTACACTACATACCTCCCTTCACTATATATGTACAGTGGGTACGGAAAGTATTCAGACCCCCTTACATTTTTCACTCTTTGTTATATTGCAGCCATTTGCTAAAATCATTCAAGTTAATTTTTTTTCCTCGTTAATGTACACACAGCACCCCATATTGACAATTTAAGGGGGTCTGAATACTTTCCGTACCCACTGTATGTGCACACTCAACTTTCTATAGAAGTCTGTTGTAAGCAGTTTCCTAGCAACACCAACTGTGAGGGCAACTGTCCTTTGTTTATACCAACAACAGGTCTTCCCTTCACCGGCACACTAGCCATCCACCGCGGAAGGCCTGATCTTATTGAAACTTTCACGAAACAAGCATTTATGGGATCTGAGCTGGGCACCAGATGAAACGTACACTCACAGATTCACGCAGGTCAGACATCCGAGTTGGCATGGCTCAAACAATTCAATGACTCCTTCAACACAACAAACTCAAATGCAGCTGATATTTGAATGGGAAGAAAGAGGAAGGCGAGACACCTAGAGTTTATAAAAGCAACTCGTCTGTGATCTCACTATCTCTCCTGTGTGCTATAAGATCCGGGAGACACAATCACAGCCTGATCATGTTTACTGTCAGGTTTTTACAATTCTGTGCCCCTCACGGATTCTTTGCTTTCAAAACGGCACTGCTAGAGCCAAATGTCTCTGACGGCATGAGGGAAATTCAGTTTCCAGATGCGCTCAGAAAGATTTAGTAGAACCACGGTGACCTTCGAAAGACGCTATCGATTTAGGGAAGTTGATTTTACGTGGCTTCCTTCGAAATTAGCATTGTCCACCAAGGACAACGTACCTCATTTCTAGTACGTAGCAGAAGACAAATGCAAATGTGAATGCTGATGTGTCATGAATGTGAATTACAGTATCGGACATCTGCACGAAACCTCACATGGGCTAAGAAATGTCAACATAGCGTAATCTCACAAATTAAAGCGGATCTGTGTGGTGCTAATTAACATAATTTACATAATTGACAAACATCCTGCACAGCAAAATTACAGAAAAAGTATGAGCTAAGCTACTTGTTAAATCAGGGCTCTCCAAACTCGGTCCTGGAGGGCCGGTGTCCTGCAGAGTTTAGCTCCAACCCTAATTAAACACACCTGAACCAGCTAATCAAGCTCTTACTAGGCATAGAAACTTCCAGTCAGGTGTGTTGAGGCAAGTTGGAGCTAAATTCTGCAGGACACCGGCCCTCCAGGACCGAGTTTGGACAGCCCTGTGTTAAATGTTCAAAATGAAGACTGTAGGAGCATAGGTATGTTTATTTGGAACAAATTCTGACTTAGACTACAAATGTGAAAAATAAAATAGTGATATAAGTGACAGATCATCACAAGATTTAGCTAAAATACAAGATATGTAGGAAACTAGATGGAATTTATTACTACAAACTGGAAAATGTTAAATAGCTGTCCTGGACTCCCTACTTATATCTCGCATTGTCTTTGGACGATATGACAGCATGAGATCATCTTGGCATAATGGCCATCATTCATTCAAGTTCATCTAGCAGGATCCATCACAGTCGCTTCAACATGCTCACTGCTTTTGCTGGGGCGTTTGCACAACAATATTCTTAGAGTGACACCTGATTTTTCACCATACTTTTTCCCTCGGTGCAGTCGTGTAAGCGACTACTCCGTTTTTCAATTTTGTTGAAGGTGATTAAATCAACAGTTTTTCAGAAGCTGTTGAAGAGATTAAATTAGTATTTGCAAGCAAACGCTCTGTGGTGGCACGTCTTGGTTCCTCAGGCGGAATTGGAAATAAGCTGTTTTAAATTAACGCTTCATTAAAATGGAGCTAAAAATGACCAAAACGGATGCGCGGTGTAGAAACACTGCATTTACAAAAGATTGTGGTTTCTTTAGATTATCATCAGAAGTGGTGGATTAGGAGAAACCAATTGACCTGCGGCTGGTGTTAGTAGATTTGTACTGAATGCAATAACAGCATTTTACCTTTTAAAGCACAGCTACATTTTGGCATCAGTAAGGTGTTTTTTTAGATAGTAAATCTAAATAATAATAATATATATATATATATATATATATATATATATATATATAAAGATAATAAAGATATTAATACTTTTATTCAGCAAGGATGCTTTAAGGGGATAGTTCACTCAAAAACACAAAAACAAAACAAAAAATACAATGGAAGTCAATGGCTACCGTCAAAAGATTGGTTACTCACATTCTTCAAAATGTCTTATTTGTGTTCAGCAAAAGAATGAAATTCATACAGGTTTTGAATGACATGAGGGTGAGTAAATGATAAGAGAATGTTCTTCTTTTTTTGATGAACTATCCCTTTAAATTGATCATTATTGACAGTAAAACATTTCTAATGTTGCAACTATGTCAAATAAATGTAATCGAAAAATTCTGAAAAAAACGATCACAGTTTCCACAAAATTACTAAGCAGCACAACTGTTTTCAACATTAATAATAATAAGAAATATTTCTTGAGCACCACATCAGTATATTAAAATGATTTCTGAAGGATCATGTGACACTGAAAACTGGAGAAATGATGCTGAAAATTCAGATTTGCATCACAGGAAAAAAATACATTTTTAAAATATATCAAAACAGAAAACATTCTAAATTGTAATACTATTTACCGTATTTTTAATCAAATAAATGCAGCCTCAGTGAGTATATGACTTTTTTCAAAAATATATATATAAAAAAATCTTACAAAGCTCAAATGTTTGAATAGAAGTGTATAAAGCTAACATTTTCAACCAACAATGGTTACTTTAATGCACAGATTTATTGTATGCCTTTTTTTGTACACGTATTTATTGTACTCCTTTTACTTTGGTTGACATGCATGTGGGAGAAGTTAAACAAATGATAATTGATAATTATTATGTTTTGCAGAATGTAAATTCACATTACTTTAAAAGTAAAAGACTTATGTATAAAATGTGTCTATGTACATAGTAAATATGTGAGTAATCCATCTTTAAATATTTGTAAAATATCAGTATATTGTAAATTAAGTATGCATGAATCAATTTATATTGTAAATAATTTCATAATAAAGTAGAATGGTTGGGTGTTTCTAACTGAGGCCTGACTTCATTACAAACACCTAGATCACAAAACAAAAGGTTTAAGTCTAAAAAATCCCTTACTTTAACTCAAAAAGTGGACATTTATGAAGTAAAAAAATGTGAACGTAATGATTCAGAGGCAGACTGAAGATCATGGGTGGTGGTGTAAGTGTTTCCTGAGGCATGGTGTGTGCGGAAAAGAGGAAGACGCCCTACCTGGATCTCGTCAGACGTCAGGCCGCCTTTCATGTCGCTGCTCTTTTTCTTGGGTGGCGGAGGGGCCGGCTTATGAGCAGGGGGGAGGTCAGTCCTGTTGGAAGAAAAAGAAAACAGACTGACACCCGGTACCCAGAGAGAGCTTTCATGTGGCTGTGGCTTAAGCCTTGTGTGAGCACACGTAATGAGGAGTCGTGCCCACGTCTGCCTCTCCCACCTGCCGGGGGTTTGATAGGCATCTCCTTACACTGCCTTTGTTGTAGCCGGTGCCATTTCAGCTGTGCCCTTTCAATGGCTCTCACTAGCCACGGAGAGAGAGAGATAATGAAACCGGATTGTAATGGGCAAAATGGAGAGGAAAGAATGAGAGCGTTAGGACAAGTGGGGTTCGAATTATAGCCCACCAATGTTCCCATCAATCCCTTAAAGTGTCAGACAGACAGCAAACAGAGCACACGGGTCTGATCCATGATGTGAGACGCAGTAGGGCAGAGTTGCACCAGCCATTCGTTACTTCAATTCAGAGTCGCCATCAAACTGGGAGACAACGGGGAACGCTGTAAAAATGTCATACCACACCTCATGAATTTTATTATAATTTGCAGACGTAGTATAAATTGAGACAAAGTTCACACTAGGTCACAAATAACTAGCATCGGGTTAACTTGGCTTGTAAATAACTCTGTATTAATTTGGTTGTACCATTAACTAGTGCTGTTCAATTGCAAAATGTGTGGAATCAACTCTGATTGCTGGTTCTGGAATCAACACTGGAATACTCAATGTTGTTTTCTATCTATCTATCTATCTATCTATCTATCTATCTATCTATCTATCTATCTATCTATCTATCTATCTATCTATCTATCTTACTATTTACCGTATTTTTAATCAAATAAATGCAGCCTCAGTGAGTATATGACTTTTTTCAAAAATATATATATAAAAAAATCTTACAAAGCTCAAATGTTTGAATAGAAGTGTATAAAGCTAACATTTTCAACCAACAATGGTTACTTTAATGCACAGATTTATTGTATGCCTTTTTTTGTACACGTATTTATTGTACTCCTTTTACTTTGGTTGACATGCATGTGGGAGAAGTTAAACAAATGATAATTGATAATTATGTTTTGCAGAATGTAAATTCACATTACTTTAAAAGTAAAAGACTTATGCATAAAATGTGTCTACGTACATAGTAAATATGTGAGTAATACATCTTTAAATATTTGTAAAATATCAGTATATTGTAAATTAAGTATGCATGAATCAATTTATATTGTAAATAATTTCATAATAAAGTAGAATGGTTGGGTGTTTCTAACTGAGGCCTGACTTCATTACAAACACCTAGATCACAAAACAAAAGGTTTAAGTCTAAAAAATCCCTTACTTTAACTCAAAAGTGGACATTTATGAAGTAAAAAAATGTGAAAGTAATGATTCAGAGGCAGACTGAAGATCATGGGTGGTGGTGTAAGTGTTTCCTGAGGCATGGTGTGTGCGGAAAAGAGGAAGACGCCCTACCTGGATCTCGTCAGACGTCAGGCCGCCTTTCATGTCGCTGCTCTTTTTCTTGGGTGGCGGAGGGGCCGGCTTATGAGCAGGGGGGAGGTCAGTCCTGTTGGAAGAAAAAGAAAACAGACTGACACCCGGTACCCAGAGAGAGCTTTCATGTGGCTGTGGCTTAAGCCTTGTGTGAGCACACGTAATGAGGAGTCGTGCCCACGTCTGCCTCTCCCACCTGCCGGGGGTTTGATAGGCATCTCCTTACACTGCCTTTGTTGTAGCCGGTGCCATTTCAGCTGTGCCCTTTCAATGGCTCTCACTAGCCACGGAGAGAGAGAGATAATGAAACCGGATTGTAATGGGCAAAATGGAGAGGAAAGAATGAGAGCGTTAGGACAAGTGGGGTTCGAATTATAGCCCACCAATGTTCCCATCAGACCCTTAAAGCGTCTGACAGAGAGCAGACACACATGGGTCTGATTCATGATGTGAGTCACAGTAGGGCAGAGATGCACCATCCATCCGTTACTTAAATTCAGAGTCGCATTCAAACCGGGAGTCAACAGGGGACAAAAATGCCATAAAAATGTAAAAATGTAATACCATGCCTCATGAATTTTACTATAATTTGCAGATGTAGTATAAATTGAGATGTAAAGTTCACACTAGGTCACAAATAACTAGCATCGGGTCAACTTGGCTTGTAAATAACTCTTAACTACTTATTTTGGTTGTACCATAAACTAGTGCTGTTCAATTCCAAAACTTGTGGAATCAACTCTGAAATCGATACCTCTCTTTTTTTTTTTTGGTTAGATTGGAGGAATATGTTCACCTAATCACCTGTGACTACATGAAATTAATTGTTTATTGATTATTATCAGCTTCTATTCTCTACTGAAAAAAAACATATGAGCAGGCTTGAAGACAAGCTAAAACCAGCCAAAAACATTAGGCTGGTTTCAGCTGTTTTTCCATCAGGGTTTATCTTCATGTTGTCTGCTCAAAATGGTCCATCATAAACAACATACCAATATATCTCACTCTTTAAGCTAAATCATGGAGTTTATAAGACTGATTAATTTGTGTATGCTTTAGGCATCTAGAACAAATCTTCATTTGTGCATCATTGTCTGTAATGTATGTTTTAGGTGCAAAACTTTTAGGTAACTTGTCCAAGACGTAGGATAATCAATATTTGTCAGTCGCATGCTATTTGACATGCAGGATCACTGAACAAAACAGTGACAACAAACCTCATTGACTTAAGTGAATGAAAGGTAATGATCAGCAGTGTTTACATATACGGCTTTATTTAAATGTTTCAGCTTAACATACCATACACACTATAACGGTACATGTATTCGTCCCGAACCCGTCCTGTGACTCCAAAACCGAGGTGCGTGCTGAACCGTGACTTCTGTGTACCGTTACACCCCTAATACACACAATTTTTTTTAACCGATTAATTGAAACAAACCATCTGAAAGAACTGGTTTGCAAAAATGAATCTGATGTTCCATCACTATTAGCGAGCGACTGTTGGGATGAGTTACTTTTTTTTTCAAGTAACAAGAAAGTATCTCATTTTTCAAATTGGTAACGACAGTTCCCCCCATTTGAGAGAAATCGTAAGTGCAGAGGCGTTGTGTGCACTGTGTAAACATGACGGTTACTGTGGTTCTAGTCTAAATGTGAACTTGAATTTACTCATCTCACTTGCACAAAAAGAGATTCAGTATTCCTCAAAATGAATGAAAACAGAAATGCACACTCAGAATATGATGCAAACCTGGAATAATTAAATGTCAACACAAATATCCTTTACGTATTTATTCCTACGTTATTAACCAATGTCTTTGCAGCTGATGCTCCAATGATCCAATTCAAACATACTAATAAGCAAAAATGACTTTAGATATACATTACATTTGTTTCATTTTTTAATTGCTGAATTCCACATCACAGCTGAGAAAAAATTACGCAAAAGTAACATAACACATTACTTTCCATAAAAAGTAACGCAATCAGTTACATTTTTAGGGAGTAACACAATATTGTAATGCATTACTTTTAAAAGTAACTTTCCCCAACACTGCGAGCGAAGAGGTGAATTAATTATTAGCTCTATTGAACTGAAAAAAAGCTATTAAAGAGAAGTTGATTCCCTTTGATGGAATCAATTCAAACCCTTGAAATCGATTCTCAGCCCAATCATTAATACAAAAACTAACTAGTAAGTAGGCTTGCTGCAAACCATGTAGGTCTGTAAAATCATGTGCACTCACATTCGTATCAGCAGTCTAATAACTTTTATTTTATATAGATCAGGTGAACTCATGAGGAACTCATCTATAAATCACACGACCAGCCAAATACAACTTACTTTATGTCGGTAACTACTATTAAGGAACAATTTTGCTAATGGAATAAATGAATAATGGCTTAAGTCACTTTTTTATATAATCATTTGTAATAATCTTGTATCCTTTTTGTCCATCTATAGGTCCACACAAACAAAATGTTCAAGCTTCAAAAAGCTCATAAAGACATTGACATGAGAGTGAGGAAATTATGACAGAATTTAATTTTATATTTATTATTATTATTATTATTATTATTATTATTATTATTATTGAGTCACATACAGTACAAACTCTATAAATATGTAAATAATACATATTCTGGAACTTATCATGGCCAACAAGAAAATATCAATATTTATTTTTGCATGTTGAAACAAATTATGCACAAATACGAAATATGATATGATAAAGTGCACTGTTTTACACTGAACTGTTGAATGGTTTTGTGCTGACATTCATGTAACAACCCAGTTATTAGTTAACATGACAAACGATAGTTAATTTTAATGCCAGCATTTACTAAAGATTTATTAAAGACAAAAGTTATAATATTTTTTTAATGGACCTAAGCTAACATGAACTAATAATTAACAGTTATTTATTTTTTTAATAACTAACGTTCAACAAGACTAATAAACACTGCAGCAAATGCATTGCTCATTGTAAATGAACGATAATTAATGCATTAACTAATAATAAGTACCTAAACATAACTAATACTACAGCTACCTGACTTACTATCAATAAGCAGCAAATTAGATTTTATTAAGGAAAAATCTTAGTTAATAGTGAATATGTGTTCCTTGATCTAAAGTGTTACCATTACAGTTGTGCAGTGGTTACACTGCAGAGAGCATTAAATCACCCGCCCAAACCATGACCTCTCTCAACACTTCAGCACACCTGGGCCTCGGCACACACCTGATGTGGTTCTGGAGAGTTCATGCAAACACCCGATATTCAATTGTACTTCAAATAAGTCACAAGCCACTGAGTTTAGCAAAAAGTGTAGAACGACATCTGGTGAGTCGTAAACTCTCCAATTTTCTGCACTGTAATTTCATTCATAAAGCCAGAAAATTCAAATAAAAGCCAGTTCCCAGAGGAGAACTCAGACAAAACTCAAAAGCAGATGTCAAACTGCCACACACACACGTACACACAAGCTCGTGCATGTAAGCACACATGCTCCCACGCAAGATGTTACAAGAATGTGGGTGCATACACAAACGCACATCTGCGCACACGCATACATACACAGACGCTGCTCTAATACGTGTTTGGGTGTTGTTGTTTCCATTGCTTGAAGGAGACCCAAATAATTCTCTCTGACAAGTGAGCTGCGCAGGAGTTGCCATCTAATTTCCAGAAAGAGGAAAGCTCTTTCCTCAAACATGTTTAGCAGTCAGACATCATCCCGCTTATTCTGACAAGATGTCTGTGCTGATAGATAATGAAGCACGGTCTCTCTCTCTCTCTCTCTCTCTCTCTCTCTGTGTGTGTGTCAAAAATAGAGAAAGGGAAAAACAGGCAGTATAACTCTTCCACATTTTACACAAATGCACTAAAATATGTACATTTCTAGACGCAAACACGCTACCTCATGTCGCTTTTGAGTTGCATGACCTTTTCTACGAGGCCAAACGGGCTCTGTAAAGTCAGGGCTGCTTTGCGCATGAGTGCCTCACTCCATTTCCTCTTTTATAGACATCACTTCCACTTCACATCACCTTGTATCACACCAGAACAGAGGCATGGCACTGGCAGACGACAACACAAATGGCCTGTATAAACTCTCACTGGAGATAAACAGACATACATAGTCAGAATTGAAAAATCAAGCACATTTTTAAATCAGTAAGGTATTTTTTTCAATATAACATTATTTAGCAAATTTCTAAATACGCATTCCCATTACTGTAATATATGGAAGCCTGTTTCTGCCACGGAATAAAATAAATAAATTGTGAGATGAAAAGTCTTTTTTTTTATTATTTTTTTTATCAGTGGCAGAAACAGGCTTCCATAATAATACAATGCATCCAAAATTTGTATTTATTTATTTATTTATTCCATTTTCACTGTTCTTAAGCATTTTACATTATGGTTATGTGAATGAGAAGGGACTGCGTGCTTAAGTGTCATTACAATAATAGCTTTATGACATGCCTACATTTTCTTTAATATTTGCTGAAAAAGGCTGAAAAAGGCTTGACACTTGTTCTTGACAGGTTTCTTGACTTTCACCCGGACAGAATCGCACACACAGTGTATTGAAAGCCTAATAGTCCAGTCTGTGGGCTGCCAATACAAAGGTTGTATGTTTCACCACCAAAAGAATGTGAGTCAGTAACTAAAGAGTTTCTGTGCTCACTGTGGCCTAAAGCAAAGCACTCAACACAGAGTCACTTTTAAAGGACTGTGCCTCAAAAGAGAGAGATGTAATTAGCTTAAAAGGGGTCATACAATAATTTAAAGTATTATTTAATATTTATTTCCTAAGGTTCACTCATAAGTCAAGATTTCTTGCATCCAATGGAGTCATAATTTAGTTTTCCCATGACCATTTTCCACTCTCTCTCTCTCACCCGTACAGTTAAATAAATAGCTTTTTCGTTGCTGTGCCTTTAAGACTTCCATGTAAATAGAGTGCTCCAGTTATGTCGTATTTTTGTAGGCCTGAAAACGAGCTAGCATTGCGTCCTGAACTCAATTGTTTTTGTTTGTTTTTATTGAATGGGTTTAT